TGTAGGCTGGGCTTCCAGGGCAACACCCGAATCTTACATTTCAGTAAGTCTCCCAGGAATTCGTGATGTCAAGCCCTCTGGATCCTGAAAGTAAACAGGCAGCATGCCATATCAACATGATCAGGCAACGTCTCACCTCAATTAATAGCATTTTATTCTGACAACTTATCAAATAAAATTAAATAAATACCTGTAATAGTCCTAAAAACATAGGTAGGTTTTTAAGAAGTCTTCTCAAAAGAAGTTTAGTGTCATAGTTGATAAGACATGAAAATTGAAAGTCTAAAAACTGCATTTGTCTTAAGTTAAAGACGGGATCTATATGCTCCAGCGAGTTAAAAATAAAAATAATTCATTGGCCAACTACTATAGGCAAAGGGATACATGTTGTTTTCAAATGTTTTCATTTTTGTTTGAAAAATAAAGAATGAGAGAGAAAGAGAGAGAATCTGATGTTATGGTTCACTCCTGAAATGCATACAAGAGCCAGGGGTGGGCCATGTTGAAGACAAGGCCCTGGAACTCAGTGTAGGTCTCCCACATGAGTGACAGGCTCTAGTACTCGGATCACACTTGTTGCCTCCCTGACTCGTGTTACCAGGAAACTGTACATAGAGGTGGACCCAGGGCTGGCACCCAGTCACTCAGATATGAGACGTGAATGCCCAATGCTACGGCTTGATTGCTGAGCCAAATACCTGTCCCAAAGTGCCATACTGTCTATAGAGGATATGAAATAATACAAAAGTCACTCTTTCTACAGAGAGCTTTAGTCTAGTCAGCCCAGAGCCTCATCAGATGAAGCCTAGCAGCAGTCACACCACTTCTGAATAAAGATGTGCTCTGGATTTCGTCCATGAACCTAAGGAATCATCTTCTCACCTCCTGTAAGAAAGCCTCTGCCTCTTTCATCTCATTAACTATGACTGACTGCTACAGATTGAACTCAATAGTAGTAGCTTTCAGGATTTAAAAAACAGGAAAAGTAAAATTATAGCATAAGTATTCTTTAAAGTCTCTTTCGCTAGCTTATTTGTTCAACAAAGCAGCACACTCTACCTCGATATAGAGACACTCTACCTACATATAAAAATGAATTGTTAATTGAAAGTCATGCACACAACTAAATCATATCCTGGACTCCGTATTGAATACAGACTCTAGGAATAACTGGAGAATCATGTAGTCCTCATTATTATGTGAAACCATTAGGGAATTTTTAGATGTCCAGTTTACATTTCATAAAATACATTAGAAATGTGTGCCTAGAGTGGAGTCTATCAACAAAAGACACAGGAGCACACAAGTCTATGTTGTGTTTTGTATCCGCACAAATAGCTTTAGGACAGAATGCAAATGTGCCAGAACCCAAAGTTCTTCCAGATGTATGCTTTCACTGATTTCTGGAAATTGCTTCACAGAACCCTCCTTATAGCACATGGACTGTGGTGTAAGAAACCGCCACACACTTTCACAAAATCCATTGTGTTGACTCATGCTGTTGTTTGTCAGCAAATTCATGCCGTAAATATCCTCACGTCTTCCCATGCTGCCTGCTTAATTTTTCTCCTATGAGGTTTAATAAGAGATATTTTTATATAGTTTCCCAAATTCCCATTGTTTTTTAAAAGTCATTTAATAACTTTTAAAATTAAATGATGCTTGTCAAAAAAACTCCTTCTTGATATATGCTTACTATGATTTTACATATGTGTGTGTATATATATATATATATATGTTTAAATCAACAGAAACAATTTGAGCTTCAATATGCTTTTAGTATGAGTGAGGCCTGTTTTGGAAGGGACCTGAGAGAATGCATCATGCTCTAAATAGAACCATCATGTTCATTGAGAATTGGCCAACTGGGGCGGGGGGAGGCGTCACTTTCCCTTCCTCTTCCTGGCACAATCTCCTTGTTAGTTTTCAAGCTGCACAAAAATTTTCATGAACCTGGCAACTTAAAACCGCATGTAGTTGTCATGGCCCAGTTCCATAGCGTTGGAACTCCGGTTGTGACAAAGCTAAGTCCTCTGCTCAAAGTCTCATAAAGCCACAGCCCAGGTGTTGACTGGATAGTGCTCACATCCAGAGGATCTTAGGGGAATCTGGTATCAGACTCATCAGGTTGTTGGCAAAAATTGTTAGCAATTTTAAGACTGAAGCACTAAAGCAGCCATTAGGCCCCAGAGGCCCCTCGTAGCTCCTTGCAACCTAATATGACAAATTGTCTCCTCAAGAGCAGAAGCACAGTCCTCCTGTGAGACTGGCCTTATGCATGTGTGCCTACAAGCGAAATAGTGCACATGTGCATAATATGCATGGAGTTGACAGCCCCTCTCCTTTGCCACACTCTTGGTTAGAACCAAGTCATAGGATTCCCTACACTGAAAGGAAAAAGCTTAGACACATATGGATGCCAGGAGGTGGAAATGATGGTGGGAGGGGCAGTCCTGGGGTCTCTCTGCCACAGAGTCACAACAACTGAAATACTGAAGTAGTGATGAGATGGATATGAATTATTTCCTCACTCTCTGAAATCCCAATTGTCTTAAGAGAAATTTGTGATTATTTAAACAAACCAACTCTCATTTCCTTCCCTTAATCAAAATTGTAGCCAAAAAAAAAAAATTTTTTTAAGAAGACTTAGGGAAGATAAAAGATCCAGAAGAATAAAGAAGATAAGTAATAAAGAGAAATAATGAGCCCAAGAACAGTGAAGAGGTCAAACTTCCAAAAATCCAGGCATCATTGGTTGTTCTTGTTTTGTGATTTATTTTGCTTTGATCTTCCACAAATATCTGAAACTATGTGTGCTCATCTGCCTCTACTCAAAGTTGTTGCCAACTTCACTAGTTTGCAGAAGTAGTATCTCAGTTCCTTTTGCACAGCACCTGAATCCTCTGAAGAGGGAAGCCTGCTTTTGGCTTCAGAGCTTGAACACCAGGATGTAGCCTTCCATCTGGCTTAAACTTTTTAAGTAGCTTTCTGTCAAGACAAAGGTGGATTATATGCATCAACCTGGGACCCTTCTGGTCTCAGAGCAGGAAAAATCAAGGAACCTGTAAGTATTATTTTAAGTACTTTGTTTGCTGGTAGTGTTTGTGGTGAATGAAAAAACTGATCTTTAATTGTGTTGGAAACAGAAAAGTGATCTGCATGCCAACGGCCAAGTACAGACTTCAGAGACCGAATGGTTTTGAAACCGATATTTATGAACATCTGCTTTTTCCCCATAAATTTTAATATGGATTTCATCCTTTGAAACCTACAAAGCTCCCAGGTGCTTCTTCTTTAGCTTGGGGAGCATGTTTCTTTTTGTTTTGTGTTTTGGGTTTTTTTCCTTGTTTTTTTGGAAGAGTCTCCTTTTTATGTGAACACATTTGAAGTCACTTTTGTTAAAACAATATTCCATGTATGTGGTTCCTGTTGGAATGCCTGGAATATGGTATTGGATGTTAGGAACACAAAATTCCGTATTCAGCATTTTGAATCTCCAGAATGTCCAATTCCAGAGCACAAACACTAATAGCCTTAGTACAGGAGACCAGTTTATGCCTTTCCCTGTTCAAAACTAGTTAGTAGGTGTTTGTTTAATGTTAAGCACTTAGTGCTACAGGTACAGCAGCCAAAGCAGAACAACCTAGAATCCATGCCTTCATTGTGTTTATGCTGCTGTCAATATAAATGTTCTCCAAAATTATTTCCACTGAAGTTTGCATTGCTATCTCCCATATAGAGTCCTTTGAAAACTTGTCCTGTGCCTATAAATCAATAATATGAACATGCTGGTAGACATATATTTGTTCTTAAGGAGCTTGGTGTATAGTACACACATCACCGCCATCAAGAAAGGTAGAACTGGGAGTCAAGTGCTTTGGGGTAGAAGCTTAGTCACCAGCCAGCTACTGTCTATGGAAATCCCTCTTGAGCAGTGTAACAGTAGCCACATCTTTCAATTCTTAGGAATACTAAGAGGCATTGCTATAGGTAGAGAAGTAAGAGTGTGTGGGCCAGAGGGAAGGAAGTAACATCACAGCTGAGGGGAGGACAAACATGTAAGGCAGCTGGATCCATGCAAGATTAGCAAGGACACAGAATTTCCTTTATGAAGAGCAACCTTTTAACAAGGCAGTTCTGACCACCCCATTACAAAAGATAGGAATGATTTACATAATAGGAGAGCCTCAGGAGGACAGTGGCGCTATTTAATTTGGTTAGGCTAATCATTTTCCATCCATTTACAGTCTAATGGAACCTCTCTCCTCTGCTTCTGAAACAGGAGCACATTGGCAGGAGGCCACAGGTTACATAAAATGTGGGTAGTCCTCTTGATGTGTCAGTCCTATTCAACCATTTGGAGGGGGAAAGTCAACAAACCTATTAATAAACAAGTCAAGCCATTATTTCCCATTAAGACCAATATAGATATGTTATGGAATAGAAAGCACAATTTTAAGGTAAAGCATAAAGCTAAAACAGTGCTGGAGCCACTGGCTGGGGGATTAAACCTGCCCGCTATTTCCTGTCAGCACTGGCAAAGCCAACTTCATGAAACTAGTTCTTAAAAACATATCTATTTACTACAAATAGTTGGTTCTCAAATTTATAGAAAATGCAAATAAAATACAAATCCTCCAAGATTTCCTTCAGCCACACTGAAGCTTTGGATCTCGCCACTGTTTAGATATTTGGATCTTAGATTAGATTTAGGAGCTGTCTCAATAGGTGAAAAATTCCATGCCACTTTGAGCTGACACCTTGCCTCTGGCCCTCTGCCTGTGTTCTCTCACTGTGTATTTAAGAGCACTCTCATTGTAGAGTTTGAACTGACAGCTCCTTTCCCAGGTTCACCAGGTGGAGTTTTTGAGCACTTTCTGGTAACTCAGCACTGAATCTGAGTACTGGCTTCCTAATTTCATGCACTCCGTTCCCAACGTCAGAATGCTGTGTAGCAGGTGGACCAACTTCTGCTCTTTGTGCTATGTTTCCTGAAACAGGATCTGGACCAGGTACAGCTCCATCTGGAGGAAGTGAGGTTCTTTGATGTATTTGGCTTCAGTGAAACAGCAGGAGCGTGGCAATGCTTCATGTGCAACAATCCTGAAAAAGCAACTGGTGAGAGACCCCCACACCCCACTTGCTGCTAGAAACCATTTGTGTCCCTGGGGTTTGCAGCCATTCATGAGTCTCCCTGTTCAGGTCAACATTCCTCTTGCTTAAACATCCTATGTTGCAACAATGAGATTCTCCTCATTTCCTCCACTTTGTGCTGAAACAGATGTGTGTCACTAAGTGACCATGGGAGGAAGCTGTTGGAAGAAACAGGAAACCATAGAACCAGAAGTGAACAAGGGAAACTGGCCCTTTCCTATATGAGGCCATGAATAAAGCAGGATCTGTCCTTTTGCCCTGAAAAGCATTTTTCATTTCATCCAAATGACCCTTTAGGATTAGATAAAAACAAGTATTCTATCAGGGTATTTTCCAGAACAGGAAGGAAATGAGACCACACTAAATGAGTAAAAGAGCACACAGACTGTTTTAACTCACAGTTATCCTTCGCACTATCACCTGATGACCGAATTGTGTAAGTGGACCATCTGAAGAGTAGGGAATCATTTGAACAATGCTCTCCCCAGTGTCTGTTCACCCTCACCCTGCTTTTTCCCTGCCATTATGCCTCCTTAATACATTTAACTCCATTTTACCAGTGGAAGAAGGTTGAGTTTAAGCCTGACTGAAGAATATTTCCTTACTGATTCGCTCCTTGAGAGGAGGGAGTTCTCCATGTTGATGCTGTTCTGGAACTGCTGTTTCGGCCAAGGAAACAGTGTGAAGAACTGTCTAACACAAATCCACTTTGCAGCTGAGCCATGCTCCAGAAAATCATCCATGCAGCATCTCTACATAGTCCATTACTGTGCAGGGTTTCATGCCTCTTAGAGATGACCCATTGCAGCAATCTGCCTTTCATGAGCTGCCAACACGTGGAGGCCGTGTGGAAAAAGTGTGTCGAGTTGGCCATATGGAGATGTGAGGGGCTTGCAAGGATGCATCAATTAAAATGCATTACCCCATGGAAAAAGTATGGATGGAAGAAGCTGGCAGTTAAAGACACCAGCCTGAGGGTGCACATTTCCCTGGCTGTTTATAGGTCCTGCATTGAGTCAATGCCAGAGTGAACACCCCAACTTTTGAAAGCTAATTCAAGCAAATAAGGAACTGGGGGACTGAATGTCTCCATTATAAAACTTCCTAATTATACCTTATTTCACATTGTAAAAAAAGCATAAAAGAAACTTTGAGAGCATAGTGTAATAAGGTACTTATCTTGGGTGGTTCTGAGACAATCTCAAGAATTTTCACTCCAAGTAAGCTGAGCCCTTAGTTCAATAAATACGTAACCATATCTGGCTGCGGGAGGCCTCAGAAAAGGGGCTGAAAGTTAACAACACAAAATGTTCTTTTAATATATGTTTTCTCAAATTCACTGCCATGCACTCGAAAAGAACATTCTGCACATTCACTCTTTCTTATTTGTGTTTCTCATCATTAAATATAGACTAAAAACACACAGCTATAAAAATTCAAACAAGGTCAAATATTTTATAGAAGAACATATTGAACCAAAATGTTTGGCCCTGGAAACGAGTGTGTTTGGATTTCCTTCCTCATTTCCGTTTGCTACATGAAAAGGGATTTGAGTCTCACCAAAAATCCTTGACTCTCTGAAAAGTTTATGTATGTTGTTGATTTCATATTTTACATAAGCATGTAAATCATACATTTAATTGATGTGAAAGGAATGACATAATATTGCTGCCAAATATGTTACTCATGGGGATGGTATTTGCATCCACGTTCTGCTTAAATTCTAAGTTTAAAGATGATCACGACGGAGGAATATGTATTTTATTATTGATCATGCACTGCTGGCATGGTGCTTGTATCCATTTTTCAGTTATGCAAAGCATGTTTACTGCTTTGCCAGGGAGTCTTTGCACGCTGTCCTTTGTGACAGGAACGTGAGCAAGGTTCCATATCTACTCTGATGAAAATTTATAATCCAGTTAGATGCTGAAGATGTATGTGAAAAAATCAAGTGCCTTTGTATGTATTTTTAGTGTGCAATAGACAACTTTAAGGGAGTGAATGAATGAATAATACTTAGAAATGAGAAAGTCAAATGTGTCTTGAACAGTAAAATGTGATGTTTCAAAGTCTATGTCTTCAAAAATGTATTTATTTATTCATTTGAAAATCAAAGTTACAGAGCCAGAGAGAAAGATGGAAGAGAGAGATCATCCATCTGTTGGTTCACTCCCTAGATGACCACAAGAACCAGGACTGGGCCAGGCTGAAATCAGGAGCCAGGAGCTCCCTCTAGGTCTCCCTTGTGGGTACTAGGGGCCCGCACTTGAGCCATTCTCTGCTACTTTTCCCAGGTCATTAGCAGGGAGCTGGATCAAAAGTGGACCAGCCATACCACAACCAAGTGTTGGCAAACTGAGACTATAAGATGAACCATGTCAATCAATGGATTCTGGAAAGATTTCATTGTGCTTGGATTGGCGAGATCAGCAGTAATTCAGAACTGTAGAACTATCAAAACCTCTACATCGGGCACTCTGGGATGGTGTTGGGTGGCTGTCCTCCATCCAATGGTAGAGGTATTTGGGAGGCTGGGTTGGCTTCCCCCCATCTCTTCCCTTCCCCCAGAGGCAGGAAGGGGAAAAAGGAGAATGTGGAAACAATGGTCTCTTCCACTTTCCTGTAGCCCTTGATCCTTTGCACCCTAATCATTTATGTAAAAATCACAAAAAATATAAATTTTTTTGAAAGTAGAGCAGCTAGAACATAACCCAGCACCCACATGGGATGCTGGCATCACAAACAGCAGTTTTACTGACTATACCACAAGGCCAGCCCCACATCAAACATAGAGCTAACACATCTGCAATATATGTAGATCTGATAAGCATAGGTGGTGCTGTCTGTTCCTTGAGAGAAGCCATTGCACACCAAGTGAAGGAGCTGTGTTTACAACTGTGTCTGCTGGGCACTACTGTGGATTTCATCAGTACCCCATCAGCCTCAGGAAGGAGTGGCCCAAAGGAGCAGCATTGAAGACTTGGGAAAAAAGACTAAAGAAAATGAATGTCTTGAGAGATTTATTTATTTGAAAGACAGAATTACAGAGACAGAAAGACCTTTATCCAGTGGTTCGGTCCCCAAATGGCTGCAACAACCAGAGCTGGGCTGGTTAAAAACCAGGAGCTAGGATCAAGGAGCTTCATCCAGGTCTCCCATGTCTGTACAGGGACCCAACTACTTGGACTTCACTGCACAGCTTTCCCAGGTACATTTACAGGGAACTGGATTGGGAAAGAAGCAGCTGAGATGCAAACCAGCATATCTATGGGATGCCAGCAGTGTTACCCACTACATCATAGCTCTTTCTGACTCCTATTTCTGGGTCTTCCTGTCTCTTGAATAATAAAAATAAATTAATTTATTAATTTATTTATAAACAACATTTCATTAGACATCAAGAATAACATCTAAAAATGTAACATACCTGGTAATGTGCAAATTAAGCCAAAGACTTCTTCAGAAAGCAAAGCAGATCCATGACCCACAGGGTCACCTGGTACATTTTTCCTGCTTGGGTAGAAGTATTATCACCATCTTTCCATGGACCTCACCTGTAACACATAAATTCATAGGAATTTTAACTTCTTGTGATCAGTAAATATTTTATCCAAGTAAGTACAAGTGAAGTCAAAAGTAACTGAGTACTATGCTTTCTCTCATTTTCTCCCCATACTGCCTCTGTTTTACAAATCAGAAAAATGAAACATAGACACACAAAATTCTCCCTACACAGTGGGACCTGCTGGTAGAATCAAGATTTTAACCTGAACAAGATTATTTCAGAACCAGTAACTTTAAGTTCTAGGGCAAAGCTAAGCACATTAAATGTTGGAAATTCCAAGAATAATTATTCCAAAATGTTGTAACATATTATAAAGGCCAAGAACAAATTTAATATTTGGGAAGTGATCTACATTCTCAAAACTTACTCTTCTAAAAGAGGAATAGGGACTTTGGTATGATCATGTGTTGGAAATGATTACATGAGGGAAATGATTATAGTAGAATTGATTTCCAGTCCTTCCAATTGCTGACTTCAGTTTGTGATAATCATTTGATGAAAGTACAGAGTTAACATGAAGCAGTGATTATAGTAACGCAATAACCCAGGGAGACTTGGCTTGTGTTCATTGTAGATCCCATTAGTCCACATGAATGATAGAACAGAGATTGAGTAAAACGAACTCATTTCTGGAAAACCAAGACAATCTCATTTATCAGTCTCCCTTGTCTTGGAACTACACAGTATATGCTGTCAGTTAGTCAGCTGGGTAGTCCTGGAGCACATCTGGCTTTCTATTTAGTCACATTTTTAGAAAGTAGAAGAAAGAAGTAGGTCATGACTTTCTCTCTTTTGTTTGGAAACCTCACAGTAAATAAATTTGTTCTTGCGCTCACGCCCTTTTCTACAGTCTGAGTCATCCCGGGTGCTTACTCTCATAGTCACTAGACATTTAGAGTTGGAATGTGATGGTCAGTAGGCAGCCTCCTTGTGATGGTCAATAGGAGGCCTCCTGGGTTCTAAAAGAAAATACAAGAATTTATTCAAGCAATTTTCTATCATGACTTCTTTTTAGAGTCTGACTTCAAAAATTTGTAAGAGTGTGTTGTCCATGAAACCTGAGCAAATAGAGAAAGTATCAGAATAATATCTGTATAAAAAGACCTCTCCTGTTAGATGTTCTTCAGAAGGTAGCAATGATGGACAGCCCTCACACGGGTTAGAGGACTTTCTGTTTCAGATGCCAGGGAAGAAATGGGCTAAATGACTGCAGGAAGACTAAGCCCGTAAGACCATAAACAGCCTTCTGAATCCTTCAGTATGAAAAATTGCTATTTGATTTCAATACCAAATTTCACAGGAAGAAGGCTTAATTTGGATTTACACAGTGTTTGAGTTTGTCCTACGATGTCTCCTCTTCTATCCATATGTGTTCAAGTACTCTCATATTTTAAATCTT